GTTCAGCATGACCATGACTATCCTGTGGCACAGTAGCAACACCCACGGTGCTCGTCTGATGTATTGATAAGGGAATCCACGATTTCACTCATTTGCGTCGCATTTCGCCTGGATACCAACATACGTTGTCCAGCACTGCTAGACTCGGGACTCGGGAGCAACTCAAGGATTGACCCGGTATGCTTCTTGTCTACGAGGCCTCGTCAGCCGCAGCAACGCGATGAGGAAGGTAGATAACAATCGTGCACCACGACACCGCAGCAGTGCACATAACATTCGTTGGCCATGCCTTCATTGTCGCCGCCGCATTTGGGAGAACTTTAGATGCCTGGAAATTCAAAGTAATGTCATCACTGATTCGATAGTCCTGCAACTTTGAAATTCATACAAAGAGAGCGGTGTCAATTTGTTATCTTCTCGGTTTTTTTGAATGCCGACGTCTCTATCATGAACCCCGAGTCACTATGCGCACTAGTCAGCTAGCAGCTCGCCGTTCCGATATCAAAGATGGTGGCTCTGCCTGCCACTGCCTCGTGTCTATATTTTAACAAAACATCATAAACTTCTTACCCTCCGATGTCTATCAAAGACACGGGGAAGCCCCGTTCTACCTATCAGTGAGCTCTCAGACATGTTATCTTCACACAATACAAAGTTTCTCGTTGCTATGGTCAGACAAGAGGCACAAGACTGCCTCTTGTATCTCCAGGGCGTCTATGATACGACGGCCGCTAAACAGATGATGTCCTCCAAATCTCCGTACAATATGCCGTTCCGTCGACATCGCCATCTCGCTCCGCACTTCCGTTCCTGGCCGTGTGTATCGTCCCTTGCCAAAATGAAATTTGCTGTGAGCAGAGATTGACGCGTGTGGTGCTTGCTTGTTTTTTGGGCGGCAATCTCATTTCTGTCAGCGACCCCCCTTTCAAATATGCTTGGGACGATTTCTTTTCACAAGGTGCACGTGCCTGTGGGTTTTAAAGGGATTATGAAGTTTCAGTGGCAAAAGCAAAGTTCAAACAAGTGGAGTTGGTATCCTTGTATCTGATCATCTATATGGCTTGGCAGTCAATCGACACATATCGGCTCCGTCTCTGTCACGACTGGTAAGTTCTGTCTCCTCTTTGTCTTATTTCACACGTCGGGCTCTGAAATCCAGAATACCGCACAGTCATTCATTATGCCCGCCAAGACAGATAGGCACCAGGCTGCCTACGCTTTAGCGAAGTTTGTCTATGACTATTCGCAACCGATGACACAACGGCTATGGCAAGGTACAAGTCTAAACGAGTACGTATCATTTCCTCAATCTCGAACATTCGACCTGCACCACGCACCACTCGCACGATACATCGATCACATTGGTTCATAAGCGTAATTGGAAAACTTACAGAATTTCTTGATTGAGTGAGGTTGAAGATGATACGATGTGTCGCGGAGTTGAGATTTTCTAGCGCCCAAATCCACTTCAGGAAAAAATCAAATGTGAAGCTTCCAAGGCTATCTATCTAAGTGATACTTGTACATTGAAACGTCATAAATTATCTATGCATCCACGTCATGGAATGTTATGTGAGTAGTAGTCTATATAAGGTATAGCAAGAGCAAGTATAGCGAAACAAACCAAATGTCGTGATAGTATACCAATGGTGAAGGCTGCAAGCCATATGAGCAATCGAAGCCCCAGGGGAGAGTTTTACCCTTGCTGACAGGCAACCAGGGTTCGCTAGGCTTGCTCTCCACCGTGCAGCTTTGTTCAATCTCAAGCTTGCTCTCAGTGAGCCATGCCTGTCCGCGAACGAACATGTCCCTGTCGGGAAACACTTCGAGGATTTCACATAGGAAACCTTCCGTCGAAAGCGTATACGTTCTGCGGAGTTCCCGCTTGCCACCGACGATCTGCGTCTGGGCGTCGATGAGAGAAAATTGTGGTGTGCGATGCATCTTGCGGAATGTCTGACCAATGGGGAATTTCTCGTCTAGAAATAGACGTTCGAAGTCGGGGTGGGTGATGGTAACCTTTGATGTAGCGGTGCAGACGATTCGCGAAGCACACATAAGATGTACTTGTCGCGATTGGGTTATGGGGTGCTCGGGAGAGGCTGGTTGCAGCCGCGGTGAGCCATTGGCATATACGAGCTCAATAAATATGGGCCGAGAAAAGAATGTGCTACAAAGAGACAGAGATTCGTTAGCAACCATTAATACGACCAAGTCATTGATATACCTCATCAGTCGCTGCAGGTCCCCTTGAGCTGCAAGCATGATGCGCTCAAGACCAGTAGTATCCTCTGGGATACATGACAGCTGTCAAGGTGATGTTTCAGACATGTCTCAAAAAATTATGACGATAGTATCGTTACCTCTACGGACGTAGATGCATTGTTAAATGAGTCCTTGCTAATCATTATGGGGCTTGCTGTACAAGGAGCGAATAAAAAGAAGGACTAGATGGCGAACGAATGATGGTGTAGGCTTATAAGGCTCTCGGACTCCCACAGTACGACACGGAGAGAGAAGAAATTTGAAATGAGGTTCTTCGCTTCACTTCCATCGGACGGAGCCAAATGATGCAGTGAGATAAGTAAAGCGAAGGACGTTGGTATTGGACAAGCCTATCCAGGATTACTCGGTCGCGATTTGGTTATCATCTTCATATGGTTTTTTAATATTGTACGTTAAAACATGAGAATCCTTACGTACTCGATGATAGATGGGCGCGCCTTTGTACCGACTAGCTCACCCAGAAACGACAGATTGACAGACAACTCATGTCGCGTTGTTCACACATAGCAACTTGTGAGGGGAAATCTAGTCACCGCAATTGCGCACTGAGATGATATTGAATCAGGTCCAGGTCCAGGTCCGGAAGTTGTGAGTAGAAGAAGGGCCGAGCTAAATTAGCGCCGATCTAGAAATAACATCATAGAAAAATCTAGGCTATTGTGGTTGCCGGAATGATACCGACTATTGTCTTGTTGAACCGTCACTATCTTGGACTTGGCCTTCAGACATTCAAAGGTAGGAAGGGCAACTATCGCGACGAGCTGGGCCAGTATTCTTACTCGCACCGCAACAATTCGGACGCGATTTTGGTTCCCCTGTAGAGCCGCCGCCTGTATGATACGCCTCGAGGATCACAGGTGTCGAGACTACTACATGGAACTCTGATAGGCTCCTACACTGCCCTGCAGTACGTGATATTAATATGATTATCATTCTTTATGAGTAAGTACTTATGCTAAGCTTGCTTACTAGGTTTCTGGAAATCATCATTAATATTCACATGTGCAGCCACTTGCATGCATACTGCTAGTACTAGTACGTGTAAGCTTTCGAAGTTCAGCGAAAGTTACTCCTCTCCAGCCCCCCAGCGGCAGCCCTGCATGTGGATGATTCTAAATGATTCGTCTTTTCTGGGAGGCGTGATTCATCGCTCCCTCGGTATTCTCATCGTGTCATCTCTTCGGAACCCTTTTCGGTAGGATAGACTCTTATCTTCAACTTCATTTTATAAAAAGGGTCTCAGGTATACTGCCGCTGATTCTCCGATAGACAATCAGCGATTGATGTGATTCCATTGCACAGATATAAGTAAAACATGTGGTTTATGACTTGTAACTCGGGTTGAACCACTTGGCATTTGCTGTAGTAGGGCCGCATACCGCCTCAAATCTCGATTAATGTCGACCCTTGGCTGTGCCCAATACGACCAATTTCTACTCATTGAACCCCTGTTTATTCTTATACCAGCATCAGTGCCTTCCTCGCCAGATATGCCGCGTCGCATCGTGAATCACACCGATCCTCAGGCTGTCAGCGTGTGCGGTGCCCTCTTACTACCATTCGGCTGTCATAAAGCCGTGGCAAATAGAGTGTAACGCAAAAAAAAAAAACACAAAAAAACGTAATCGAAAGACATGGGAAACCCTGTCGACTGATGAGCTTACCAAGTTAATAGCACCAAGTCAGTGAAAATTGGTTTAAACACCGCCCCAGATATCCTCCAGTAGTACTTGATGATTTCAATTGGCTGAGACTTTGCAAAGTTGAAGACTTTTGCAAGTACGGTAAACAAAGTCATCTACCGCCAAAAACATATCCTAATTTGGTAGTTTCACGATGTCAACATGTTCTGGCCCTTGGTAAGCCTCACCCACGCCGGGCTTGCACATTTGAATTAGACCGTGTGAGATGTTAAATGCTTGACGTATATTAGATAGGGTCCTTGCTGAGCGGTGAATGGCGTAGTCAGCCAAGTAAAAACTGGTACTATCACCTGATTCGGAATGCACAATCGATGGATAATGCACAATGCACTCCAGAGCTCACCACTCTAAATATATTTCATTCGGAACAGCTGGTGGACAATTATTAGCATACATTCAATAATACTACCAATTCAAAATTTTAAAATCGGTGCTGTGAAGCCTTCCCGAGATGAAACATTGTGCGAGTGTGCCCAAAATGAGTGATTTTTGGACACTAAATCCAAGATCCACCCAGATCCCATTAACCTATCAACACAGAAAGTTCAAAATATGTGAAATGCACCATCCTGAATCTACTCCAGGTGTTTCTATGTCAATAGGACACCACCACAGCATGCTATTCGCGATTCATGAGCAAAGCGTGACGGTCAGGCTAGATTGGGAAATCACACTCTCGGCTTGGTTGAGTCTCCGCTTTCTTTGCATTCGGCAGAATCGGCACATACCAGCATCTGTTCCTTTGAAGACACCAGAGGACATTGTTACATTACAAGGACAGTCGACCAATGTCAAGGACAGCTCGAGTTTTTCGCAACCGCCCTTCACCACATTCACAACCTCCTCTCACACGCGAGGATCGTGAAAAACGTATCAAGGATGCAATCGATACATGGCGTGGGGGTGAAACTAAAAGCCTCCTACAAGCAGCCAAGATGCATGGTGTCGAGCACATATATTCCACAGTGCGTAGGAGATGTGAAGGGTTGACTCTGCCACGAGACGAGGCGCATGCAAAACAACGCCAAGTCAAAATCAGAACTGGAGGATATTGCTACTGCTCTTTCGCTGTCAACCGAGGGCACGAAGTCTGAAATTTTAGAACGCATCAAAGGACACTTGGAGAATACTCCCGACCTACGCCAGGACCACCGCTTTTCTGGTCTTTACACATCTCGTGGAAATCGGGCACCCCATGAGTCAAACGGTCATGCTGGATCTTCAAGAATTGACCATACTGCTCCCATTCAAGCTACACCATCTCAGCAGCTCGTTCCAAGCATCAGTCATGGTTGTATTTCACTTACTTCCATGTTTATTTTGTTGCTGATAATGTCTGAATAGCTATGCATAGTAACGGCGCTCCCTTCTCGAGTCAAGCGGCACAGCAAATGAACGGTCCTTTACCCTTCCCCTCATTTAATCCACCACCTGCATACCCACTCCATTATCCAGGTCGCGAGACACGATTCATGCAGCCAGTGCCAGCCCCAGAAGGGGCTCGTCCTCTTCGAACTTCACAAGACCTCCCACCACGGCTACATGCTGGGCCGTCCACTGGCAGATACATGCCTTACCCCCTGCATGGCCTTCCTGCACCATTAAATAGAGTTTCAGCAAATAATGATCACTCAGCACATCCTAGTGTTTATTACTAGATATTATTCCCTCAATGAAATTTGATTTGGAGCTCGTTATTGAAGCTTGAAGTTATGAACGGTGCGGAACACTGGACTTTCATTCGCTTTGCACGCTGTCGGACTGTGAATATCATTGTGTATTGGCCGAGGTGCCGCGCGTGACATAGTGTGACGAAATTGTGCATTTCTATTGTGTTTTCGACACCTCAACTTCCAGTGCTGCCGCTGCAACAAGCTCGCAACAAAATTAAAAAATTCTTGTTGGGCCTAATGCACAGAGACCTAAAGTATACACTACAGTAGATCCGATACGAATATGTGTTGTTGTTGTGTTGCTATTCAGCAATAAGTGTAAATTGTGCATTTCCCGTCGAATGATAGTAATGTCAACAACTCTCTTCACAAGTTTCACCGCCGATACTCGGGAGTGACAGGCCACAGCATTGATCACTGCCTGTCTCATTTTGTCTATAAGGTTCGCCTACGGGAGTCTACTGTTAGAATGAGTCGTCCTATCTATCTTAACATACCGACGCGTTCAGGGACCACATGGGTGAGAAAAGCATGCAATTGTACGAGTACTGCCAGTGTCCTCGCGGATTGCCCAAGAATTACTGAAATCGAGTGCTTCTTGTCGAGAACACGGCCTCGCCCGTTCTACAACATAATTTTCTTCGTATAGAATATCCGAGCCGGACGTCCGCTAATTTCTCTAGAACGTTTTCGAGAAACTGAGAACCGTGCTAAGTAAGGCCACTTCGATGCCACACGATTCAATATGTTCATAATGAATCGTAGTCATTTGGGTAAGCCAGTGGAAGCACTCGAATATGACTGCACCTGATTAGCCAACTGAGTGGGGGTGGGGTAGCCTGTATCGACATGGGCGCGCCGGCGGTAGAAGTGAGTCAATTCTATGAATTGCAGAAGCTACCTGCCCGATTGTGTATAACAAATCTGAGTCGGCGGATGTGCGCTTCGTAAGGAAGATGAAGACCTAGTGAATTTCATAGTTTCAGTACTACTGTAACATCAGATGAAATTATACCGTACATGTACGGTATGGGGGCGGCGTATTTACACAACGTATGCGGAGGTCATCCAAACCGTGATGAACCACACTTCCTTTGCGTAAGGACAGCCACTCTTGCTTTGTGTCTGTTGGTATCTGAGTCAGCCCTCTGCTTCCAGGAATTCTGCAACAAAAGCCTGAGTTTCCAGCTTATACGTTTTTCGAAGTTTACTCTTTGCTTGCGTCTAGAAATAGAAGTTCGCGTTGGGGAGAGGTGATGATAACAGTGGATATTGCAACGCAGACAGTGCATGACGCACACACGTGTCGTGGTCGTGTGATGGGGTCTCTGAACTTACTGGCGTAAGCAGTGCGCGTAAATAAGTTCGATAAAGATAGGGGCGGCCAAATATGAGCTGGGGAGGCGAAATATCAAAACCTCGTTTAACGCGGCGGCGGGACATAAATAATTACCCCAGCAGTCTTTGTAAATCGCCTCGTGCCGCAAGCTTATGCGCTCCAAACCAGTAGTATGCATCTGGATCACATGTCAGCTTTTGATCCTGTCAACTTGTGGTAGCCAAAATGGAGAACAAGATTAGACATTGGTGGGTGCAGTGCCATATGGATCATTGGACAACGTGCTCGACTGCAAACTGAAAAAGGTTGTTGGACAGATGGTTTAAGTTCTGATAGGGAAAATAAAGCTGAATTTTCCGGATCATCCAGTGACAATCGAGAAAATTTGAAGGATGTTCCGCCCGATATCTATGTTCGCATGCACATGTTTCGAGCACAAGTAAGGATTTCCAGAAAGGCGGTTCGTATACTCCTAGATTGATGTCTGCGAAAGTAATCGGATTGAGCAACTATAAATCTTATCTGATATGTTCTGATGCAGTCATTCGTGTACCTGCAGTAGATATTTTTGGGGTTTTAGCAGTCAAGCCGCGGAGGAACATTCTCGACTCGTTGCAACCGGGAATCCGTGGTGTTCGCAGTTGCATACACGTGGGTTTTTCGTTATATATAACGCCAAAGTCTGTCGATCGTCATCACGAAGGTGATCACGAGTCCTTATTCAAGACTCCCGATAATCCCTGTAAGACGCATATCAGCAGAAGCCAAACATATCCAGACAGATATTTAGCAAGCCATGTGCGTGAATACTGGCCTAGGGTAATGATAGATGTGTCAATGAATGAAACAAACCCGGAAGGACCTAGGTCTGAAATGCAGGATTGAATGCAATCACATCTTATACCCAAGTTAACATGGACTTCCAGTATCTCTATGTACCTCTGAGACAGAAGGTATTATGTTCTGGAATCCAGCCTCCCCCAGGAGCTGTTGGTTGAAGAGTAGAGTGACTGCTAACTGGGATCGTGAGAATAAGTACTTAGCTTGTTGCTGACTCAAGAAATACTCGCAAAACTTGATTTCGGATTGAGAGACTCTGAGACGGTGCATTCAAAGCATGGCAAGTGCGTTTCGTAACTTGCGATCATCTATAATGACGGTCATTATCAGGGCAAGGCAAAGAAGACTAGAAAATTTGCTACCGTTAAACGCCTCTTGAACCCCAATGATGCTAGATTGTGCGTCGCCTGACTAGCCGCTCCGCTGTGTCGCTGAATCCTTCGATGCAGAAAAGAGAACCAATTGAAGCAGAAGAAGAAAGAAGAGGAAGAGAAAGCCAAGGCGGTCCGTCGGGTGTGAGTCTTCAGTAACCTATC